GGGGGGGATTCAGTTCTACCTATAGCTTTGTGCATGTCACTGTCAATTTAGCCCGAGAGGAGGAAGGAGGGCGATTTGCGAATTGTAAGACCAATTGTTAAGCAGAGTATAATCGAGGTGGTTCTGATAGACCGTGCATTGATGTGTATCCAAGGGAAGGGAACTTGAACTTGGACTCACCAACGCACACACATTTGCTGTTGGCGGGAGAGTAGGTTGGTGGTTGTGCTGGCGGAGTGTTCTACCGTCTACTTTAAGAGGAGATCCTGCCCAAGAGGTGTGGGTGTGGGTGTGGGTGTGGATGTGGGAGGGGAAAGCTAAGAGTTGGATGGTTGGGGAGGGAAAGTATGGGGTAACAGTGCAGTGCACTGCAGGTGGTGGTGGTCTTGATCGTCCCAACATAGCTTAATCATCCTTTCTCCGCCCTGGACAGAAAGTGAAGAGAAGAAACAGGGCAAAGATATTAGGTACTCGCTATCATGCAAACGCCCCCTATAGGAAGACGATTCTCTGACAGTAAGCAACTAATGGTGGTGAGAATGATTCGATGCACCACAGTTCTCAGGGTATCGGTTAGTCCAGGTCAGGCTCACTATGGAAGCGTAACATCTATGAAGAAGGGACAACAGAGGAGGAGAGGAAGGGGTCGATAAATAAAGAAAAGGGTTGGTACATGTACTTCATCATTGCTGTGCACCCTTAACTTTGGGGTACATGGATCCAGGATGTCGCTGCATGGACGTTGTGTCTCATGGGTGCCAGGCAGCAAGTGAGGTAGCACTACCAGATAAGCTGCAACAGGATGGGTGCATGCATGGTAGCAACACTGCCTTTGCCTTTGCCTTTGCCTTGCGCATTGCCCGCCAATCCCAGGAATTTCAACAATATGTTGTTCCATTCTCTCTCGTCATCAGAGCCAACATAAAGATCCTGATGTGGGTTACCTCACACATAAGCACACTGCGGATGTGCCTGGTTCTGAGGTCATGAACCCAAGAATATCGAGCAAGTTGGCAGTCTGTACGGCATGTCGTCTCTTTCACGTGACTGGCTTGGCTGATCGGCCATGGTACAAGTAACTGACCATAAGCGAGGTGTGCAGATCAGCGCAAGATCTAAATGTTCAAGGGTTGGGAGTAGAAAAGGAGTTGTTGGCGCTGTGGTGCTACTTCGGAAGCAGCTACACCTCTGGCGTGCACAGACTTCGGCCACAAGCCCGGGGGGACAGCGGCCCCCTCTCCCTCGCCTCGGCCCCTGGTCATACTTATGGGCTCAGAACAGGTTGGGATGTGACAACTTACAAGAGGACGAAGCGAAGGTACCTGGCTGTTGCGACCAGGATTATATGCAGCCGTTGAGACCAGTTCCCTTCTCAATGGGGAGGAGTGTGTACTGTACGTACTGTAGATACCTAGGACTCGGATGGATCTACAGAGTAGGAGCTAACCGATTCAATTGACTTAACTTACCATGAACTCGGCATACTAACTTTATCGTGACTATGTGCAGCCGATTGCGCCATGGATGGCGACATGCTATATGCTATGCTATGCCATGCCATGCCATGCCATGCTTGAGAGCAAACTACATATAGTCCTCAGGATTGTGGTCGGCAAATTAGGGAACCTATGGATGGGCAGTAATTTAACTTGAGTGGTGTTGTGAGAAATCGGGGTACAGGTATACTCATGCCTTGTCTACACCCTAGGGTGGACACGTATGAGCGGATGAGGTGTAAAAAGGTATGCCAGCCCAGATGTCGTGTATGACACCCATTTTTTATCGTCTATCGACCTTAAGTTAGAATTTTCTTTTCCCCATTCTTCGTCACTGTTTCGTTTGTCACCCGGCCGGTCGGTCTGAAGAAAGAGAAAATTAAAATAATATGAAATAAAACGAAATAAGGGGAAAAAAAAAAGGTGAGTGAGAAAAACGGTACCGAAGAAAGCCTCGTGCGCATCCGGCAGAGGCAAGACGGTTGGGAACATTTGCCTCGCCCCGATGCAGTAGTAATCTGACATGGCCCGGGAGAGGGAGAGACGGAGAGACGGAGAGAAAGAAAGAAGGGCAGAAGGCCCGGAATCCTAAAGAATCCCAGAAGCTTCTGGCTCCACTTACTTGATTTGCCTCCACCCGGCCTCGTCGTCCCTTCCAGTCGGAGCCAGCCCTGACAGAGAGGAGAGAGTCTTGAATCTCAGTTTCAGTCTGTCTGTCTGGTCTGTCAAGAAGTCGGTCAGTTTAGTAGTGTAGTAGTAGTAGTAGTAGTAGTATAGTCAAGTAATGTCAGTTTCTACCTAGTAGTAGTCAGTAGTCAGTATCTAGACTAATCGGATGCGCCTAAAATTAAGGAAAGGGCGACGAATCCCCGTCCCGATCGATACTTAGTGAAATCCTTCTAACAACTAAAAGGGAAATAACATTGAATGCTTTAAGGTAAAGATGGTAAGGTTGGTAAGTAGTGGATGTTACACCTATGCCTATGCCTATGCCTATGCCTAACTAACCACGCCTACTCCTCATCGCTGCCTCCTCCTTCTCCTCTTTCTCCCTCAGGCTGGATCAGCGCATTGCACCTCCATTATTGAGTTAATTCAGTTACTTAGTTGGTTATTAGTTAGTTAACTAACTAGTTAATATTATTGAGTGACTCAGCAGGTCATTCATACCTACCTACCGATTTAACTTACCCCCTCTGACCACTCCTCTCTCCCTCCCCAACCCGATTTCGCAATCACACCCGTTCCCCTACCCGATTTATAAATTGACTTTGCGCTGCAGTTTCGCCGCTGCCACCTACTAATTCATTTATAAACCTCTTTCGCTGCCTCTTTGTCCTCTCCCTCTTTCTCACACCACTCAACCTGACTCTGCCTCACCTGCCTCACCTCCTTCCACCCTCTTCCTCCACCTACCCTTGCTGTTCCCGTCCCTACAACGGTCTTGCTTTCAGTCCAGCCACATCTGTCTGCTCCGGTGATTATATATAGACCGCCCTTCTTATCTACTACTCCTTATCTACCACGCCCCGGGACTCTCCTAACAGCTCTCTCCACCGACCAACTATCTCCACGTCACCCTTTACTTCTTCTAAAGGAGGCAGTACTTCTCTTCATCTTGAGGCTTCAGCAGCTTGCATCAGGTTCCTTTCAACCACCCGCATCACACCCACGGTTGACAACCAGCGATCTCTCCCAACCAGCGCCAATTTGCACGCCGCATACGCAAGCGCTTATCGGCTGTCCCTACTCCGGTGACTCCTCTTGACTCCGCCCCGTTCTTGCCACCCTTAATTCCATCATGGCGCCCCGCAAGCCTCGCTGCAACTTCAAGGAGTGCAAGGAAGCCGCTCAACGCATTGTCGGCGACTGCAGCTTCTGCAATGGCCACTACTGCTCCAAGCACCGCATGCTGGAAGCCCACTCCTGTACCGGCCTGGAGGACTGCAAGAAGGAGTCGCATGCCCGCAATGCCGATAAGCTGAACAGCGAGCGCACCCACGTCATCAAGGGCGTATGAGGTTTCGCCCGGCACGCCCCAATTACCTCATTTAATCAACATTCCTCTTCGTTCCGCTGCATCGTCATATATCGATTAGCACGGTGTTTTTTCGTCTCTCTTCAGCCCATACTATTTCTTGCAAGGCGGAGTTTCTTGTTTTTTTCTCTAATCATCACATTGGCTGGGGGGCTCCGCCGTTACTGCACGGACAGTCTCGCACCCTGGCGGTTTATAAGCAAGGCTTTTGGGGGAGTTTTGTTCACATTTTTGTCTTTTATCTTTGATATTGTACGCCTGGCGTTGAGACTACCTCTGGAGTTGTGAATGATTACTTTCTTTCTTTGAATCAATGCTCATCGCAGGTTGTGGCAGCTGTGCCCGCCATTAGGCCTTCAGAAGGTGGTTGAATACGTCGCTAGACAGCTTTGATTTTTTCTGTTTATCAGCTTGGATAGAATTGATATTTCCCAGCAAAAGTGAGTCTATTCATTGCTGTGAAAGGCAGCATCGTCACATACCCCGTAGGCATTCTCTGTATATCACCCATCAAGCAAGATTGAATGAGGTACGCAAGTGATCGGCGTTGGAGCATGGACGTGGTAGTTTGGTCTTGTGCCAGCTCAGTACGGTAGCTCCGTCAGGTACCTACTACCTCGTCTGCTCCAGCCAGTGAGCGTGCACAACGTAGCACTTGTCATATGACAGCAACCTTGGTGCTTAGGTAGGTAGTGCTCTGTTCAAGCTCCGACCCCCATCCTCATCAACCATGCTTTGAGCGAGGTTAAAAGTTGCCTTGGTAGGTAGGAGGTGCCTTGGAATTCAAATCACAATCATCTAAAAGAGAGGCACCAAAAAAAACCCCCACGAGAAAGTTTGTAAGTAGTACAACCAGTATTGCTGTTATCAGACACGAACAAAAACATCAACCACAAAATAAATAACAGAACCCAATCCCATCCTTGGAGTACTGTAGCGATTCAACCGGGTCCAATCTTGGGCCTGTATAGTGCAAAGTTAGGAATGTGTTGGTTAGTAGCAAGAAAGTAAAGGCACCGAGGGCAGGTAAACACGGAAAAGCCTTGAGGGACACAGAAGGAAGAGGGCGCGGATCACGTACATATCGTGGTGTTCACTCAATCGACTGAGGTACTTGTTGAGCTCCTCCACGCGCTCCTTGTGCGTTTTGACCCCTTCCCGTTTCAGGCGTTCTTGCAGCTGTGGGAGGTGGAGTTAGTTGGCTGTCGTCCATGGGGTTTATTTGGTGGTGGTGGTGGTTGTTGTTGTTGTTGTTGCCCCGGTGTATGGGGATGGCGTGCGACTTTAAGGTGCAAAGGGGGGTTTTTTGGTTTGTGATAGCTAGCTACACTTGGGTGGATGGGGGATGGAGGGAGGGAGGGTATAGATCAAAAAGGAATGAAGGTGGTGCAAGACGATAATGGCTGATCGATGGGATAATGATAAGAGAGCGGCGAAAACTTACCCTCCTCTTCCTCATCTCCTCATGCCTTCTCTCCGCCTCGGTCTTGCCAGCCGAGCCAACGTCCGGTGATGATTCCTCGGGATGATCAGCTTCATCGGGGGCACGAGACGTATCTCTTGGCGTGGTGGTGGTGGTCTCATTTTCGTCTGGTTGCTGCGGCTGCTGCTGCTGCTGCTCTGCGTCCGCTTCGGGAGAAGCCTTTTTGGTCTCGTTTTCCTTTTGCTTCTTCTTCTTTTTCTTCTTCTCTACGCGGCCATCGGCGATCTTGGAGCCCTTCAGCTTGAGCTTACCGCCTCCGCCGGGCGTCGAATACTCGTCGGCCGGCATAGGGGAGGGGGGCTTGTCTTAGACAGAGGGGTGATTGGGACTGTCTTTTTCCAGGAAAAGTGTGTTTAACTTTGAAACATGATTCGGGGTGGGTTGTTTGAAAAATTTAACCGATGGTATGGTTGAAGTTGAACTTGGTAGATAATCAAGGTGATTAGCTGGGCCGGGGGTAATTTTGCCTTGCCGCTTTAGAGTCGGGTCAGGTGATCATGCGCAAAGAAGTAATCCAGGAATTCGGTAATTGAGACTATGGCCTACGGTTCAATGTTACTAGCTATTCAATGGATATAGTGGCCTGGAGCTACTGATATATACGGTCTGATGAATCGAAAAGCGAGATGGTTAAATGCCACCAGTGGCGCGATTGTCATTATTGGCAGACTATGTTCTATGCTTTTTGACGTTTCATGCTATTTCATGCTATTGATATCATAATGTTATCTCCTAGTTGTCCCTCAAGGGCCATGGTTCGTGCTCTGTGGCATGAAACATGGGTTTCAATCGAACGGAATCGGGCGTAGCCCTGATCCTCCCCCTCGTTTCCGCATCTCGGCTCCCGCAGCAACCGTGCTGGGGACCTTGATGCCACAGCAATCGCCGAACCAATCCAGGTGATTGGTGTGATCATGGCCAGGACCGTGTTCGTGCTCGTGGTCGTGCTCCTCGCTCTCCATGTCATCGGTGACCTCCGTCATCCCAGGCGCGGCGGGCAGAAGGCTACCGAAAAGGAAGTGTTGCATGATGGGCAACTTGCCCAGAACTTCCTTGACAAACATCTTCTTCATGCCGCCTTCAATCTTGCTCCAATTTTTGGCCCCCGAGATGTCATCTAGCATGGGGCTGTGCCAGCGCAGCCCTTTCACGGTCTTCACGCTGTCGACCCACCGCACTTGATCCAGGTAGATGAAATTGTCGCTTTCTTCCTCGAGCACCGCCATGTTGTGGATCGACAGCGGGGTGATGTAGGGATGGGCCACGAGCTGCGAGGCGCCGAACAGGAACGGCAGGAAGTGGTAGTCGTCCAGACCCCAGACACCGTGGGACCCGGCGGGTTCGAGATAGTATGTGGTCTGAATGTCGCGCATCAACCGCATGTAACTAACGTACACGTGGAAGACGATCGCAGGGAAGTCGGGTTTCGAAAACAGGTCCACCTGGCGGAGACATAGTAGCCACATCATGAAGTTCAGCTCGTGACCAGAGCCGTAATCGAGTCGATCCCGCGACCCTAACGAGTTGATAAGGTATGTAGATGCCTCTTCGAGAAGGGCCGGGTCCTCGAACCCGAATATGTCTCGATGCCATGCCTCGCTCTGTCTCGCGACATCGTCGAACAGATCGCGGAATGCTGGGTTACCAAAGCGCGAGCCGTTCTGGTCGAGGGAAGGGTGGCGTTCAAGAAGTGAGCGTATTTGGTCGACCACGGACTGTACTTTGGTGATGGTGGGAGAAGGCTTGCCAGCTTCGGTTGTCGCCCGTCCTCGTACGGAATCGGAGAGTCCGAAGATGAAACCGAGGATCAGTCTGTATGTAGGGGAAGAGAGGAAGAGTTCGTGATCATTTCGTGATAGGATTCGACGGACCGGCCGGGTATATTGGTGGGAGGTGAGGTCGGGAGGGCTAGGTAGAGGCGGGGTGACTGGTGCGGGCTCTTTGGAGGGTGCTGTGCTCGACTTGCTCTTGCTCGCTCGAAGCTCTGAAAGCTTCTTGGACAAGTCAATCTTGGGCTTGGGTGCCAGACTCGGCACGGAGACCTCTGAGGCCATAGTGAGATGGCGGGTAAGAAAGGCCAAGAAGAACGACGATACTACTAATGGATGGTGCACTTTCGAAGGTGACGGTCATCTGCCACCGCCCGCCAACGATGGCTATGTGGATGAGTTTGGTCACGTGGCAGAATCATACCGCCTTTTCTGATCGTTTGACAGAGGCTAGGCCGATGACGCTTTACCCAAAGGAAGATTAGTGCTTTCGGAGAGGATCACCATGTGATCGACAAAGGCCATTCGGTCCCTTGGAGGCAAAGAGCCAGCTATTCCACTTCAGGCTTGGGGCGCGTGGTACGGTAGTCACTAGTAGCGCTGCTTAAGAGAGCGACAAAAGTTGTAACTTCGCCAAAACAACGCGCGATGCTGGGTGAGGGGGTGAAGGAACGAGTTGCTTGAATATTTGGCTAGAGAGATCCATCTCAAGGACCAAATTTCTCGTGTCTACAACCTCATATAGAGGTTCTTTAACCGCCATCACAGCCGTTGAGAACTTCCGAAAGCTGGGGAACTTCTGATCCTACTATTTATCCACTCTTCTGCGTCTGCTTAATTACAGCTTGCCCTAGGCTATATGAACCCTGCGCCTCCGTGAGCACACCATCATGGAACCCTCCGATTTGACCACACAAAGCACCCAAAAGCCTGGTGACTCTTCTCTCACACACAGTCCTTCATCCCCTCGTTCGTCTCGAGGAGAGCCACACCGCATGTCTTCTCCGAGCGCAGAGCAAGGGCCGGCTGCGACACCTAGTCACGGCCAATCCTACCCAGTCAATGAATGCACGCCCATCGTTTCGAACAGCGATTCATCCCGGCGAAATTATCAATCTACGGAAGGGCTCAGGAACCGCGAAACGGGGTCCGTGAATAGCCATGCCGGGATACCGGAACGGCGAGATGCAAGACCAACCGATCAACAGGCATCCCAGTCGGATGCGGAGGAGCCGCACGCCTCCTGGTACCGGCGAGTGGCCGAGAAGTACGGCAGCTTAGAGCTAGAAAATAAGGGCAGTGTTGCCCGAGATCATCTTGCTTTGGGTGCGTTTGTGTCTAGTTCCCGTCTCGTTTCAGCTTCCAAAATTCGCGACATTAGCAGTCTGACATGTTTGTAGAGCGTACATTCCTTGCCTGGCTGAGAACTTCGCTGGCGTTTGCATCCATTGGAATAGCTGTAACCCAGCTGTTCCGTTTGAATAACACGGGAAATGTGACTGGAGTGGATCCGTCGTCCCAAACCCTTAATATCGATCCCGCCAGTGTCGCTATATCGTCCGCCGCTCAGCGGCTCCGCAGCATCGGGAAGCCGCTAGGAACCACATTTATCGGCGTTGCCATTCTCATCCTCCTGGTTGGCTTTCACCGCTATTTTGAGAGCCAGTACTGGATCATCCGGGGCAAGTTCCCGGCCAGTCGTGGCAGCGTTGGGCTGATCGCCATCGTCGCTGCAGCGTTAATAGTAGCTACTCTGGTAGTCATTCTTGCTATCTCTCCTGGCGCTGTCGAAGCGTAGCAAGAGAACGAATTTTGATTTTGGCATTTGAGCGTTGAGCGTGTTTCTTCACGTATGTTTTTTGTTATCTCATTAGCAGCACGAAACTTCAAGTCAGGTGGATAGCATGCTGGGCTGAGCTTGTTGTCTTTGTATAGGAGATATTGTGGGACAATAGCATGCCTTATTCCAAGGCTACTGGGAGAGTGGTTGGTCTAGTGAATGCTGCTTCAGAGCTCTGGTCCTTCACTGAAATCTATCTTCAATGATGCATATGTGAGCAAGCATTTCATGATGTGCACATGATACAACTGAGATCTGACATTAATCCGGCACCTGTCTGAGATCTAGCAGAAGCGAGTCAGTGAAGTCTCCATTGAACTTCAATTATTTTCATACGCCCTGCGTGGTTTGGAGTCTTCTGAAACTACCTTTAGCCATCATTTGTAACACCACTGTCGGCTGAAACCACAAGAGCCCAGCAACCCAATGTCAGAAGGTAATTTCACATGCGCAGCCGTCTATCAACTGGTATATCCCGGTAAGTGAAATGCCACGGAGGGCCCTGCCTCGAATGGAGTAATATTTGAATTGTTTGTTACCCCTGACCATTCCAGACAAGACCTTCTCTAACAGTATGAACCATTATCTCCATGTTTATGTCCAGAGCCACGTAAGGAAGGTTCATCTTAAGCCGTCAACGCTCATCATTCTACACAAATGGCAATCTGGGGCTCTTTCCGGGCGTCTTTGAAGCAAAGCAGAAGTAGTCCTTGTAACAGAGCATCGTCGATGAGCGACGTTGGCACCAGACATCGTGACACAGTGAGTCTCGCTACTCATTGACTATAGGGCCAGCCTCGTTTGACAAGACCAGACCCTTGGTAAAACGCCTCTGATGATCCTGACGTGACCTAGGAGAAAAAAAAAATCTCCGAGAACCATTTGTGTCGCAAATGGCATGACATTTAGTTTTGCTTTACTCCCATTCGCATTCCTAAAGTCTTCCAGTTACGTCCAGAGCACAACCCCACAGGAATACCTAAGTAAAGTATACTCCGTACAGTTTGAATAGTTTCTTCGCCGCTGCGGGTGATACATGCGACAAGAAAATAAGTGGACCGATCGGGTTTCCAATGTGGCTGAACCCATGGAATGGAAGTTAACTTCTGGAAACAACCCCCAAAAAGGCACGAAAATGATTTTTTGCCTTAAAAAAATGGGATCGATCGGCGCCGATTTCCCCAAGGTCAAAAGTCAAAGAAAAAGAAAACCCGGGGACCTCGGCACAAAGAACCTGAGAAAAGACAAAAACTTTTTCTAAGGTTTTTGCCCTCCGCATTCCGCTGTGGACCGTAATGTAGCGAGACAGGTGGAGTGGATGCAAGAGGTTGAGAGATGGATATTTATTCTACGGAAGTTAGTGTTGACGAAACTTTTCTTTTTTGCGAGACAATGGAAAGGAATTCCCTCCTTAGTGCCTTGCGTTCCAGCAGAGGAGCTTTTTGAAGTTTGTGTTTATGATGATGGATGTCTTCCACCCCCCCCTTCTTTGTGCCTGGCAGACACAAACACAGACACACTACCGGAACTGTCGGTAAGGCGCCTGGGCAAATGAGTTCTTGATCCCGATCGTAATGTCTCAGAATTCGGAATACGAGAGAAGACTTGAGTCGAAATCGTTTGTCTCGTGGGCCGTGGCCATACCTATATATTACCATTGCGACCTCGTGACTTGGTATGAATAGGTCTGGGCCTCTGATTTTGCAGTATGGAATCCAACTTGCTGTACTCCGTAGATGGTCAATGTAGAGTGAACTGTCCCTTGCCCTTTGGTGGCTTGTCAAGTCACGCTTTTTGCAAGGTGAATATTCCTCTGATGGGTCATTCTGTGTCGATTCCATGGGACACGCGGTTTATCCTTTGCCCAGGGTCTTTGATCTTCCACTACAGAGTTAGGACGGAGTACAGTGTTTAGTTGTGGCTCATTCACCACTGTATTTCTTACACTCAGACTAGTACGGAGTACGCTCCTTTGTCTTCCTAAGGATAAGGCCGTCTGCAGAACGACGATTCGGGACTATCGGCGGTGTTTCTTGCACCAATGAATAGGCCAGGTCAGGCTCCTGCAGATCGTCGTAAGGTGCGATAAGAGAGGCAATTGCCTTGCCAACTGTCTGGCAGAAAGAGACCAGATTGAAGTCTTTGATTACGAAGTCCATAGTAGAACAACGGAAGTGATTCTCCATGATTCAGTTGCTGTTGTCCACAAGAATCATTGGTAATCTCTCCACGCCATGGGGAATCTCCCCGTCCACTTAAAAGAGAGAACCGCCCCCCGGCTCAAAAGACTAGGTACCTAGGTTGTATAACCTTCAAGGTTCCTACAAAAGTCTATTGTGTCAGCCTGTAGTAATGGATCGCAATCGCTTAACCAGAACTTTGATCGAGCTGAAAGACCATGATGCATAGCTGACGGTCTCGTAATCCTTTTATCCTGTTTTGGTGTACTGAGTCTCTGTCGACTACAGTACACAGTATGCATAACTGCTTCTTAGCCCTCAGGCGGCAACCCCTCGACGCAAACTATGATCGGCCGAAATGGCTAAGAACAAGTGATAATCTTGAATGATATGTCTAGCATATAGGGCGCCAAAGCATGACATTATTATTCCTGGGCCACATATTAACAGTTCAGAAACCTTGATAATCCGTGCCCAGTCCTGGAAGAGGGATAGCAAGCTCAGTAGCCAATAATAAGCATGACGTGTGCCTTACATCCCTGGCGAGACCTAGCGCGCAGTAGGTGATGACTGGGTAAGAAAACACGATAAGACCGCAGGGATGGAGGAAGCTTATTGGCAGTGACCAGGGGTTCCTGTTTCTCTTTAGTCCTGACTAGACTACTACCGTGCGGCGCTCAGGAACGATTGCGCAAGCCCAGTTTGGTCAGTAACAAGACAAGGGTAGGTTGGCGCCGTGAGAACCTGAAGCCCGCGGGCTGGCTCGGGAGACCTCAGACAACATCAAAGCAGATCTCTCCCCCCCCCTAAGAATGGAAGAACGACGGTGATAGCGCAGAAGAACTATTCTTGGATGTCTGTTGAGGAACTGGACGAATTCCGGGGATGTCCCGGATTTTTTTTCTTCTTTTCCAGGTGAGATGTTTCATCCCTCCGCCTCCCTCTTCCCCTGGTCAGAAGTCAAGACGTGTCAACCTTTGGGCAAGGATCACCTGTTAGCAATGATAATAATCGGTGTTGCGGACAAGGACTCTCTCGCTCGCTCTTCTCATTCAATCAAGGGGAGATCCAGAGCGCTAATTAAACTAACACCGGATTTAGTTAGCGGCAGGCGTCTAGTGGGTGGCGTTCGGCCTTCCTCCACCGAGACAAGCGAGATTTCAATCCCCTGTCTACCGCTGCTGATTGGAGGTCCGGCTCAGGTACGGACGGATTAGTGAAATCCGTTGATGCCTGGAGGGGGGTTTTTTCTTTTCGCCCGGTACTCCCGTACTCCCGTACAGTAGTGACATTATTATTATTAGGGATTGATCAACAACCACCATCAACATTAAAAAAAGTAATCAATTGCATTGAAACAATAGTCATACATGACTTCCGACCGGACCACCCATTCACTTCGCAGGAGGGTCGGATATCAACCGTTTCGCAATCATTAGCATAGTCTTCTCTGATTGACCACTGCTCCCAACTGTTCATACTATGTAATATGAGTACTTAGATTAATTATGCTCATGCCAGAACCCTGATTCTCAACCTGTCGGATGTTGTGGGGACTTGTCTTGCCTCCTTCTTGGTGTTCGCCGGCTTACTGTGTACACATGGAGGGATCAGGCTTTTGTCTCAACCAAGGATTGCGCATCGTACTCGGATAGCCGTCGATGGTCGTGACGTCGTTCATCTGGCCCGATACGGGTGATTTCCAGCGACTTATCGATCTAGGCTTGCTGGCAACGGTGCTGAAGTAAGAGTTCTTCCGGCCAGCTCCGTATTCGTAAGATCTAGAAGGGACCGATTGAGAGGGATACCGTGAACATGCCCCAAGCAGAGAAGAGGAGGATAAGGGAGCCTGCAGACTAGTACGTAGTAGTGGTGGTGGTGGTGGTGGTGTGGTGGATCTTGGTAAATTCATCTACAAGCTAGATGGAGAACGCATCCATCCGCCAACTCCGCAGTGGGAGAGGCGTGCAATTTCCCCATATCATCGCTGGCTCGAATTGGTGAATTCTCGACAAGACAATGGTGTTACTAGGCCATCAACTTAATTTAGCAGTACTCACTAGTAAGTTAGGAAGGTACAGTACAGGCACTGACCGGTGTCAGTCTTTGCTTTGAGGCTACTACCTAGTAACTTAGTTGAGGCTAGGAAACAAGGAGTAAAGACCGATACCATTCATTGATACGGGCTCCGTTCTTTACCGGGAGGTGCAGGTGGTTCGTTCGCCATCCCTCCATCGACTCCATCCCCTCTCCATGCGCTAAGTTGCTGACTGGAGGGCGGGCGATCGGACGGCCCTGGTAAATACGATGTATCAGTTCGGTACTAGGTACGGGTGCGGCCCCTCCGGGTGACCAGCAGCCAATCAACCCCTGCCGCCCTCCTCCATACGTCGCCGTCTCCTCCTCTCTCTCCACCACCAAGCCTTTGGCTGCACTTCAGCCTTTCCTCTCCTTCCTTCGACTTCATTTTCCCTCTCTTCCTAGGTTGATCCTCCCTCTTTTCCTCGTCCTCCTCCTCCTCCCCCCCCCTCCCTCTCTCACTCTCTTTCCGACTTCCTCCTCTCTGCCCTCCTTCGCTTTCTTCACCCCCGTTGCGTTTCCGCTCCTCATCTATATTCACTATCCTCCTTCGTTTATCCCTCCCCCTCCGCCGAGTCTTCCGCTCATCCTCCTCGTCCGTGGCCCGTTCCCGTGGCCGTCCGCTCCTTACGATAACAACAATCCCCTTCGTCGCCTGCACGCTTCTCCAACTCGAGTTAATTACGACTTTTTGCTGCGGATTTTCCTCCTCAAGAGAGTCTGCCAGTCTTGATTAAACTCGGATTAGTTGAGAAGGCTCCTGTCTAGCCGCCGTTCGGTTCATTTCGCTACCTTCAACCCTCGGCCTTCGACCGTTTCATCATCACGAGGTTCTCTTACTGCCACCTCATTCATTAATATCAAGTTTGTTGGATCTGTGGCTCACTGGGGTATTCGATGGTCTCGATGTGCAAATAAAGACCTCCAGCCAAAGTCAGGCTTTCCAAAGCGTACTAGGGAAGTCGCATCGGTCTGGAGGTCCCTGTGTGCTTGGGCTACATCAACTGTACTCATTTGCAAACCACGGGGCTGGCCGTATATATCTGCAATATCTAGTTATTACATAGTATCAGCAGGTCATCATGGCTTCGATATCTCTACCCCCGCAGCACCCAATCACTCCAGCATTCTCCGAATATCTTCGACCCATCGATCGGTCACCTGTCGGTCACAGCCGCCGCAACTTGACCATGTCAACTCCGCTCCCAAACCCACCCTTTGTCTTCCCGGCACGAGACCCTGGCGATACGGTGTCGGAAGCTCCAGCGACTAGACGCAGGACTCCCCCGCCCCTTCCGGCTTTCTCGTTCAATCCAGGGTTTAACCACTCTGCACAGCCGTCAATGCCGAATCTCCCAATGAATAGACCAGGTGGTCATCGGCGACGATGCAGCGAATTTGTGGGTGGGGATCGTTTAGCCATCCCTGGACCCGTAGAGGCCATCCAAGGCAACGATGAGAGTTCAGGCTCGACACCTGCCAAACTTCCTGCTCCAGGTCTCGGCTTCGGTGCAGGCAGCCAAGGAAAGCGGCGTCATGCCCACCGACGCTCAGCTGCTATCTCTAGCGTGGACCTGACAGCAATCTCAAATGCACTGGACCTTAAGCCCACTGTCGAAAGCGCTCCCTGTATGCCGGCAGATCCGATGCGAGAGCATCATGCTTCAGACGAGCCCACGCGACCTGCATCACAATCGGCTGCCATACTATATCGAAATTCGCCACCTGCGTCCCCTCGAATCGTTGTTGAGACAGAACCCCCGACTCCCGTCAAATCAAGCGATGAGACTACCATCCCTTCACCTTGTTATGCTTCGCCTGAACAGTCGCCTAAATTTCTTGCACCCACGAGCGCATCGGATCCCGACTTCTCCACTAGAAACAGTGGCGTTGTCGAGATGAGCTCTGCAGTTGAGCCCAAGCTTTTCTCAAACGAGAAGCCCAAGCCTAGGCCCAGGACTGCCGATGCTTCTCTAATGCTCGATCAGCACATGGATTCAGCCATTGGGGATACCTCATCTTTGAAGCGACCGCTATCCGCAGCGGGCCATTCTCGGAACCGCAAAAGCTTTTCTTCGGGAATTCTAGATCATTTTGCGGGCTCGTCAAGACGTTCATCCTCGTCCAGCAACACGGGAAGCACTTCGGATATCTCTGATCGTGATGCCCGCGAGTCTTCAGATTCTTTCGATACACATAAGAGGATCTCGAAGGCGAAAAAACGGCAGAAGAAGGTGCGCTCATGGGCCGGTGCCATCTTAACCAGAGGCAAGGCCAAGCGCCATGCGAAGAAGGACATGAGTGAGAACATTCAGCCTTCTGTCCCCGCCCCTGTGATTACGAGAACCAACTCCGACCTTGGATCGGGACTAGACGTGGACTTTGATGATGATACCATTGTTGTTATCCGCACGCCTACTAATCCTGCTACACCAGACGCTCGTCGTCCCACATCTCATGATTCAAATGTACCATCTCTGGAGCATTCGTGGAAGCCAAGGAGCTTCTATGAACAGACAACCCAAAACGATGCTCTCAGTCCTGTCATCGACTTGGATGCAGCTCTGGGGCCATTCAATACGCCTGACATGCACTCTGGTCGTGTTGCGGAAAGTGGTTTCTCGGCAGCTACCAAGCGCATGTATAGTGGTGGTAGGCGAGGTGAATTTGTCGGTCCAGAGATGCGTTATCATCGCCGTGCGGAGAGTGCACCTGAAATGCCACCCTTTGACCGCAGTTTTCTGGGAAACAACCGATTCGTGAATACTTCGACATTGGAGAATCCAGATGTGCTTTATGAAGAAGAAGAGGATGCTTTCTTGGCTGCTACGAGCGAGTCTCCAGCTGAAAATATTGAGCGCCCGCTCTCACAGGTCATCATCTCAACTTCGCGTGATGATGCTGAGAGTAGGTCCGAGGAAAGCAAAAGCAGCTCTGAAACACTTACTGCCTACCCTGTGGTTGACGAGGTCCGTGACCAACCTCATACTGGTCTTGGGATTCAGGAAACTGAAACTCATATTATGTCGACTGCCGATGCTACTTCCTCCATTCAAGAGGACCTCAGATCTCGTACTGCATCAAACCCTATCCATCAATTGCAGAATGCGGGCAACCCCTTTTCTAATTCGCTGAGCGATTCAGTCGATGTCGCCGAGCAAGAATCATGGCAGCACCGCATGCCTGTTCCTACAAGTCCCGACGTCTCTCCGCGATTCATGGCTGCTGATACTCGGCCTACCACCTCCCCAATGGAGCTGACATATAACATCCCTCCACTGTCTCTCCAGGGAAGCACACTTGTCTCGAATTCCTCTTTTCCGTCTCCCGACTTCACCGGCTGCTCATCGGATGCCCCTCGGTCGATAAATACACCATCCACAAGTGACCATAATCTCTCGAATCCTTCATACAATCCGTCCATGGATCTTCCACAGACGTCAGTTGAGGATGTTCCTTCTCTCACAAGCAGTGCATCCACGACGACGAATACACCCCACAGATTCTCTGGCACATTCTTCGGACGTCCTCGGCTGTCCTCTGATCGTTCTGCATCATTCTCTGAGGCTGTGCGTCGCCGCACCAGCCGTGCCAACAGCTATAAGAGGTCTAGTCTTGCCAGCCTTTCTAAACTCGTTGTTGGCTCCCAGGGAGAGAAAAGCAAACTCAGTCATGAAGAGAAGCCACCTGAAGATGAGCCTGAAAAGTCCAAAAGGAAATCTCACCGGATCAGTCGTTTGATGCACTTCTGGAGGAGCAAAGACAAAGACAGGCAGCATGAACACGGGGTTCGACAAGAGCCACAATTATGAAACCACCCTTTTTTCGACACAAATATTGACACATGTACATATTCAACCTGATCATGATTCGCTTCTCAGGGATCTTTGCAAGATCTCTTACCTCTTCACATTTCTTTTCTCCTCTTTCGCATTTATTTTCTTGATCAAGTTCCCCTTTACTGTTGTTGGGGTAACTGACGAATTTCTTTCCATTGGCATGTGATCGCAAGCGTCAGAGTATGAAGCTCTATCCTTTTCCTCTTTTCGAGATTTCATGTCTCTCGTTCCGGGCTTGTTGCAAGTTGTGAGCCAGTTCAATCAACTTGGCTTGCTATTTCCCCAGGCTACCAACTGTTTTTTCATCATACCTTCTCTCAGCTCCTCCCTTCTCACTCCATCTCATCCCGGCCCCCAATTTCGGAAGGGCAGGGCTTGTTCACCGTCATATCCCTCCATGGGACATCTGATGTTCTTTTTGTTCTTATCGGGCATACTTACATTAGGGAGGGGATATTTTGATATTTTTCCTTGGCTGGTCGAAGCTGGTGGTTGCTGTCGGTTTTCATGGACTGGAGGCTCTATCTGACGAATCTAGCATGAAGTCTTTATATGGATACTGAAACAGCCGCTTACGGCTGCAATGAATGTACATTCTGCGGCACTAGTTTTGGTGGAGCTTTTAGGCCTTCATTCCCGTGTAAGACATCATTTGTACTTGCAGGCTCGTATTTCATCGATGTGTGAAGCAACTGGAGGAGACATGCGCCGGTATCGATTATAAGATTCACGCTTGAGGTTTGTCGAAGATATATCTGTAGTTGTGATGTACCCCGAACCCGGGAGCCCCACACGCCGAACACCAGAAAAAACTCAACTTTCTAGCCGCCGCTCTCTTGGCATCGGAGGAAAGCTATCGATATCACATGTAGTATACCTATATTTATAGATATAAAAAAAAACCGATCTCGACTATCACGAGACATGGGCCCCTCCAAAAAGGCCGCGAAAGCCTCCTCCCAGAGTCAGAGTCGCGGCGGCAGCAAAAACGACCCCAAAAAATCTTCGAGGGGTACAACAACTACTCGGGGCAAGCACCAGCACCGGCCGCAGAATCATGGTGCTGAATCGGCCGCCGCAAATCAGATCGATCTCTCCGCGACCATCCCGCTGACCCTCCAGCAACTGCTCCTGAACGTCTTCAAGGCGGCCTTGCTCACGCATCGAGTGCCTAGCAGCATTAGCAGCAGCAGCAGTCGCTCTGAGAAACGCGATGGCGATGGCGAGGGTGAGGGTGAGGGTGACGAGGGTAATTCGGGCGGTGAAGGTGCCGAGGCTGTAGTAGCTGAGCAACAGCAGCAGCAGCAGCCCCAACTGGACATCAAAGGCCTCATCCAGACCATCAAGTCGCATCTGTACAATCGGGACTTCGACTCGGCGTTTACGGACGCCGATGAGGAGCTCCTGCGTGCGTATGCTCTGCGCTGGAGCTCGTCGCGCGCGTTGGGCTATGCGGGCATCTTTAGGGCTTTGTTGGGGGTGCTGTTGAAGCGTGAGGGTCGGGTTGCTGGCGCTACTACTTCGGCGGTTGATGGTGATGATGCGGAGGAGGGGGAGGAGGGGGTTAGCGGTCATGTGGTTTGTATTGGTGGCGGCGCGGGGGCTGAGATCGTTGCCCTTGCAGCTGCTTGGAGGGATTGGAGTGATGTTTTTGGGGATGGTAGGAGGAGGAGGGGGCAGCTGGCTGGTGGTGGTGATAGTAGTGGAGAGCAAGAAGGAGCACGAACCCTCGCTGCTGCTGTGGATGATCTCTCTTTGCACGAGACGAATGGACCGGAGGCTCAGGCTACTGCCACGGTCGAGGAATCGTCGACACCCGATGGACGACAACAACAACAACAACAACACCAACAACGCCACCGGCTCTCCGTCACAGCCATCGACATCGCGGACTGGTCGCCCATCGTCGACCGACTGGTCTCCACCATCCGGTCTCCCGCCGTCGCGGGGTCGGACGCGCATCCCGCTCCTTTGTATCGAGACGCGGGGCTGCTCAGCCTAAGCCAGACCGATAATCGTGGTCCGGCCCCGAGCAGCAGCTTCCAGGTGGGCTTCCAGAAGCTGGACGTCCTTTCGGCCTCGGAGGAGGAGCTGCGGAGGCTGGTACAGCCGGACACTGCCAGCGGCCCCGTCCTGGTGACGCTGATGTTCACGCTGAACGAGCTGTTTTCGACCTCCATGGCCAAAGCCACGGGCTTTCTGCTGCGGCTCACGGACATGCTGCGGCCGGGTGCGGTGCTGCTCGTGGTCGACAGCCCCGGTAGCTATTCTACGTTGAAACTCGGGAAGAACAGCGCCGGTGGCTCGGGCGAGTCGACGAGTAGCAGCACGTCGGAACGACAGTATCCGATGAAATTCCTGCTGGATCATGCGCTGCTCTCCGTCGCGGCGGGGAAGTGGGATCGGCTGTTCTCGCAGGACTCGCGCTGGTGGAGGCGCGATGCGGCGCGGCTGCGGTATGGTGTGGGGGATGCGGCGGGCTTGGAGGATATGAGGTTTCAGGTGCATATCTATCGCCGCTTGGCGGATTGAATATTTCATGTGTGTTTGCGTTATATATCTTGCTGTTTTGGCTGTTGGTTTTCTTTGTTGTTTACGGTTTCTTGGATAATATATACGGAATGTTACGGTGTGCTTTTGGTGAAGACTTGGTCCGCAGGACTGTAAGAGTGTATGCTTGGATGATGACGTATCTGGAGGATTGAGGGAGAGAGAAGAATGTGTATGTTATTGCTACAAGAGATAAGAAAGGTGGTGTATGTCAAACAGGAAGAGGAAGGGGAAGACACCAAACAACATCAGTTTCGCCAGGGAGATCATGCACGCCCGAGAGATCCATCCGGGTCAAAAGAGGAAAAATAAAACAATTAGGCAGACAAACAGAACTACATATCGGTTTCCACTTCTGTGTTTAGTTCCTCAGACCCAGCAGAAGGCTTGTGTTCTTGCCACCTTCCTTGCCGTCGTTACCCGGCAGGTATGTCACGTTGGGGTTGCTGGCCAGCGTGTTGGCGATCTCCTTGCTCGCCTCGATACGACGGATCTCGATCAGCCCGCTACCAGCCTTGGCGACGGCCTTGCTGATGATATCGGCACTCTCGGCCTCACCCTCCGCGCGGATAACGTTGGCCTGGCGCTCCTGCTCGGCGCGCTCGACGATGAAGCGAGCCCGTTCGGCATCCTGCTGCGCGATCTGCTTCTGCTCGACGGCGCGCGTGAACTCCTTGCCGAAGGTCATGTGGGTGATGGAGACGTCCTCCAGGGCGATGTTGAACTGGGCCGCCCGCTTCATCAGGTCCGTGCGAATGCGGTTGGAGACGGCCTCGCGCTGGGTGATCAATTCGGCGGCATCGAACTGGGCCACGATGGCCTTGAGGACTTCGTTTCCGATAGAGGGCAGCACACGCTCGTCGTAATCGGTACCGTATGACTATACAAAGAAAAACAGCGCAGTGGTCAGAAAGGCGTCAACAAGATACTGGGGGGTGGGGGGTGATTGCGAACCTGGTAGATCACCGGCAGCTTCGGGACATCAGGACGGTGCAGGACTCGCAGGGTCAAGCTGACCATCTGCAAGTCTTTACTTCCGGTGGTGGTCGAGATATGGCGGGGCTTGGTGCGGACATCGTAGATGATCGCCTTCTGCAACCAGGGGATGAGGAAGTGTGTGCCTTCGTTCACGACCTTCTCCTGCACACCGGACAACCGGTCGAAGATGACGGCGCGGGTTCCGCCACGGACATCGTAGAGGGATTCTCCGAGGAGCCAGAATCCCACAAAGGGAGCTCCGTATGTGAACAAGAAGCGGTTTGACATGGTGGGTGGTGTGTTGTTGGGAGCGAGAAACGGGAGGGGTGCAGCAAGATGGAAGCTATTAAGTTTCGACGAGGTACTCAATTCCCGCTGCACTGAATAATGGATGTGAGGAGATGATGTCGCGGGAGGCTTTTCGCAGGCTGTCCTGATCGGGACTAGTGCTGGGCGGTCTCGTTCGACTTCGACCTTCGCCCGTTTCGGTCCGAAAGCCAACCTCGACTTTCTTCCCCTTCTGTTCTGCCTTACCTTCGTCCTATCTTCGTTCCCACTCCGCGTTTCCTAATCCCCTGAAACTCGTCGCATACTTTCACAATGGGTGGTCATCTCGATCCTAAGAACGGAATGTGAGTTCTTCCCTCTGGGGCTGGTGCCCTCACCGCGATCCCTAGCTTTTCCGGAGCACGGCTATCGTGCGGCCCTTGTCTATGGAACTCCTCGAGCCCAGCCTGTCCCAATGGAATAGACGGCGAATAGAGATGCATTGGTACTTAGGAACAATCGCTAACGTGTGGTCGCTTTAGTTTCCTCGGCACGTGGGGTGACCTCGGTATGTCTCTTGAACCCTCTCTCCGAGCGTGATGATGCAGACAACGTCCTGGGGCGGCAACCATACCTTGGATTGGGAATATGGCATGCCTCATTCGCAGATGATCAGGCCCCAATCGATGCTGGATGCTGCTCAAGATGACGATTACAAGCGATGTCACCTCAACCCGCCGACAATGGTGTGGCTGACCGTGAATCATTCCAGGCTGCCCTACTCCCCAGCGTATCACCTCCTACTCCCTCTCTCCCAACCGTCAGCGCCCTCTCGCCGGTGCCGGTCACGCCGCTATCTTCAACACCTTCCGCAGATTCAGACACCAGGTCCTCTACGTCGCTCCTCCCTTCATTGCCGCCTACGCCCTCATGAACTGGGCTATTGAGCGGTATGTATTCCCTCCACCCGTCCACGGGGAACTTCTCCTTGATGCGCGCCTTTGCAGCGACTGGATGAGTAGAAGCTGACACTGAACTTCTTCTTCTTAGCAACGAGTACCTCAACTCCAAGCCTGGCCGCCTTCTCGAGGGTGGTGAGGAGTAAATGTAACGTGCGATACCAAGGGGACCACTACGGGGAAGAAATGTAGCCCAGGAAGAATGCAGGAATTCGTTTGGTGATTGCGATGTACAGTAACTAGAAGCAATCGGTTGTGTTGCGTGTGCCGCTTTGCCTATGAGTGCCTATGAGTAGTTCAAGCGTGGGGGGTTGTATCCATGATCTGTAATGGATGCGTTTAGATAGGTCGGATGGATTCCAGATCCAGGCGACCTTGACCAATCGTAGTGTCCGGCCATTGCCCTGCGCTGATTGACCTTCTCTGTTCTACGATAATGCACTTCGAATAATCTCATGTCTTACACACCCCTTGAGCTATGCATCGATTGGAGTGCGATTGGAGTGTATCTTGTCGCTTTGGCCATGAGGATGCTGCTGCCCAAGTGCCTAAAGGGCATGTTCTACTACCTTTTCCCCAACAGCAGCAGCGCACAGGCCTGAGACGGCCATTGTTCGTGATGGGTAATGAATGGAATCTCTTACACAATGGTCAATGTCAGAGTGGAATGTCTGCTTTCTTATCCAGGTCTCATTCACAACACCTAAGCTGTTCCCCAAGAGATGATCAATGTAATGTATTGTAGCTTGATCCCAGAAAATGACCAAAACGGGACAATGAAGAGAGAATTTGGGAAGCAAAGGCCAGGAAAACGGCGAACGGGTACAGTCAATTACGCCCAATATCTTACGTACTAGTAAATTTAGTTTTAGTGGACTCAAACTTCCACAGCAAGTTTTATGTTAGTTGACTTACCATACTCGAAGTTACCACTAACTTACCAGTCCAGACAGCACTTCCCCTCCATTATTTTTTTTCTTCCCTCGCTGGATTTGGAAAACCCCCCACTCCGCATGCGCTCGTCTTTCTTCTTGTCTTTCTGCCGTCCCTCTTCTTCTTCTTCTTCTTCTTCTTCTTCCTCTTCCTCTCTTCTTTTTCGGTTCTCTTCACTCCCTCACTCACCTTCTCCTCTTCGTCCTTTTGTTTTCTCTCGTTCGCATTTTTCGCGTACTTCTCAATCCGTCACCATGAGCGACATCACTCACCCCACTATCAAGGGCAAGTTCTTTCGCACCACCACCAACACCCCTCCATCACTGCTCAGTTACCCCACCTCGCCTATGTTGGGACTCTTCCCAAACCAGTCCTTGGATACCTCTCAATGGACCAGGCAGGCTCGGGCTGGCTTGACTGTGCACCTACTACCTCAATCAAAATCCTCGTGTCAATGTATAATGACTAGAATTGCCCCATCATCGCTAACCACTTGCGCTCTGCAGATGGCTGGTTCTCCGAGCAGTCCAACATGTGGCCTGGCCAGGCCATGAACCTGAAGGTTAACCAGATTCTCCACCACGAGAAGTCCAAGTACCAGGACGTTCTCGTCTTCGAGAGCAGCGACTACGGCACTGTTCTCGTTCTCGACAACGTCATCCAGTGTACCGAGCGCGATGAGTTCTCGTACGTCCGGCCTTCATACTTTGTCTCTGTGTTACCTTGCAGCCCACTCTTCTATAAGGCAGGTTTCACTTGCAGGACTGACCTTAATTCGATGATAGCTACCAGGAGATGATCACCCACCTGGCCATGAACTCCCACCCCAACCCCAAGAAGGTCCTCGTTATTGGCGGTGGTGACGGTGGTGTCCTCCGTGAGGTCGTCAAGCACGAGACCGTTGAGGAGGCCATTCTGTGCGACATCGATGAGGTACAGACAACCAATACAACCTTCCCATGAGAGGGGACGTTCCAGCTCATGCAGTTCTAGGCCGTCATCCGTGTCTCCAAGAAGTACCTCCCCGGCATGAGCATCGGCTTCCAGCACCCCAACGTCAAGGTCCACGTTGGCGATGGCTTCGAGTTCCTCAAGCAGCGCCAGAACGAGTTCGACGTCATCATCACCGACAGCTCCGATCCCGAGGGTCCCGCCGAGAGCCTCTTCCAGAAGCCTTACTTCGAGCTCCTCCGCGATGCGCTGCGCGAGGGCGGTGTCATCACCACACAAGGTTGTTCGTCGCCTTTACTTTGCTCTCATCTGCCCACTTTCACATGCCCGGTCTCCTCTCTTACCCTACCCCTTTTGTCTCCGCTCTCTTGTTTCTTGTCTCTCTCATGACATCTCATTATTCTCTCATTTTCTTGTCGGATTTCCTTTCTTCCCCGTATCCTGTTACATGTACCCCTTTCGTCTCTTCCCCCCTTCCGCTCCATTCCCATACTCCATCATCTCTCGATTCACTCCACAATTCCAAACCCCTTTGAAAGCTAACCAAATTATCCGACCACAGCCGAGAACCAGTGGCTCCACCTGTCCCTGATCACCGACCTCAAGAAGGCCTGCAAGGAGGTCTTCCCCGTCGCCGAGTACGCCTACACCACCATCCCCACCTACCCCTCCGGCCAGATCGGCTTCATGGTCTGCTGCAAGGATGCCACCCGCAACGTCAAGGAGCCCGTCCGCTCCTGGACCCGCGAGGAGGAGGAGCGTCTCTGCCGCTACTACAACCAGGACATCCACCGCGCCAGCTTCGTCCTGCCCAACTTCGCCCGCAAGGCTCTCAACTAGATTACTTAAACTTTTGTTTCATTCTTCTATCTTGTTTTGGGATCTGTGGCCTCCGGTCTTGAGGCGCCTAGGGCGGATGATAATCGATGAATGATCTGACGATGATGAATACAACCAAAAAGATTTTCCCCTTCATTATTTTTATTAGACATGGTAATTCGCAATATGCAATCGAGTAGAAACTGATAAGTCATAAGTAATGACGCTCATGTCCGTTGAGTCGGAGCTCTGGAACACGACCCAATTGGGAAAGGGTCAACCGACCGGCTTACCCCATACGATTTTAATCTACATGGGCTTGACAGAACGAACCCTACTACATCAACACCCTCAAGTAACCAAAATAGAAAATCGTGCATTTTATCTTAAACCGACATTCGTTAAATAGGACTTCTCCTGAGGGGCCATCTAGGCCCTAGGATCAACATCGTCCATGAGAACCATAAACATGAAAATATAGGTAACAAGTCATCACGTCGCTAAAACAAGCCGTCTACAGAATCTGCTGGAAAGCACGGTTGATGGGCGAGCGCACCTTGTGGCCCTTGTAGAAGTCAATGGTGGCGATGGCGCGCTTGCTGATGCCCTCGGGAGTGAACTCGAATTTCTGTAGAAATGGATTAGTGACGGAACATTCAAGCAGGAAAATGGGGTAAGACTTACGGCGTAGACCTCCTTGTAAGGACCAGAGGCACCGAAGCGGTTGAGACCGAACTGCTCGTGAGAGTAGCGCTCCCAACCCATGGTGGTGAGGGCCTCGACGGAGAGGATGGGGATACCATCGGGAAGGACCTGGAGTCTGTAGGACTTGTCCTGGGCGTCGAAGACCTCGAAGCAGGGAACGGAAACGACACGGGCAGCAATGCCGTGCTTCTCCTTGAGGTAGGTGGCAGCCTCGATACAGATGCTGACCTCGGAACCAGTGGAGATAAGGGTGACGGCAGCGTCAGGAGCGTCAACGGCAACGTAAGCACCCTTGAGAGCGTTCTCGATGGTGGAGTTCTCGAGGTGGGGCAGGTTCTGACGGGTGAGAGCCAGAATGCTGGGGGTGTGCTTGGAGGTCAGGGCAGAGTAGTAGGCAGCGCTGGTCTCGTTACCATCAGCCGGGCGCCAGACCATGCAGTTGGGCAGAGCACGGAAGTGGGCAAGAGTCTCGATAGGCTGGTGAGTGGGGCCGTCCTCACCCAGACCGATGGAGTCGTGGGTAGCGACGTGGATGGCGCGAACGCGAGAGAGGGCAGAGAGGCGGACGGCACCGGCGGCGTAGGAGACGAAGTTGAGGAAGGTACCACCGGCGGGGATGACAGTGCCGTAGGCAGCGAGACCGTTCATGACAGCAGCCATGGCGTGCTCACGGACACCGTAGCGGAGGTAACGACCGGACCAGTCACCGATGTTGTACTCAGGGGGCTGGAAGTCGACAGCGTTCTTCCAGCGAGTGTTGTTGGAGCCAGTCAAGTCGGCAGAGCCAGACAGGAGCTCGGGGACAACGTCGTGGATCTTCTCAAGGACAGCCTCGGAAAGCTTACGGGTAGCCACGGCAGGGTCGGAGGGCTTGTAGGTGGGCAGGCTCTTCTCCCAGCCCTCGGCAAGCTTGCCGGAGAGACGGCGGGTGAGCTCAGCGTGCTCGGACTTGTACTCGGAAGCATACTTCTCGAAGAGCTTGTTCCACTCCTGCTCCGCGGCGGCGCCCTCAGCGGCGTGCTTGTGGTAGAGGTCATAGACTTCCTGGGGAACGACGAAGCTCTGCTTGGGGTCGAAGCCGAAACGCTGCTTGACACTCTCGATGTCGTCAGCCTTCAAGGGGTTGCCGTGGACACCACCGGTACCCTGGAGCTTGGAGCCGAAACCAATGGTAGTGGTCAAACGGATGACGGAGGGCTTGTCGGTGACGCTCTTGGCTTCGCGGATAGCAGCCTCAATGGCATCAAGGTCGTTGTCACCGTCCTTGACCCAGACGGTGTGCCATCCGTAGGCCTCGAAACGCTTGGTAACGTCCTCAGTGAAGGCGCACTTGGTGTCACCATCTGCAAGAATCAAGGTCAGTGGTCTGTCAAATGCAAGACGGTCGCCTCATAGTCAGGCTGAAGAGTAGGCCATACCGATGGAGATGTGGTTGTCATCGTAGATAGCAATCAGGTTGCCGAGCTTCAAGTGACCGGCCATGGAGGCAGCCTCGCTGGCAATACCCTCCATAGCGCAGCCATCACCGAAGAAGCAGAAGGTGTGGTTGTTGAACAGCTCGTAGCCGGGCTTGTTGAAGACACCAGCGGAGTGCTTCTGGGCAATGGCCAAACCAACAGCGTTGGCGAAACCCTGACCCAGAGGGCCAGTGGTGACCTCGACACCGGGGGTGTCGTGGGCCTCGGGGTGACCAGGGGTGATGCTGTCGATTTGCTAGATGGGCGCCATTGTTAGAATCTGAAAGCGAGACGCTTCAGACTAGGAGAGTGCTTACTCTGAAGTTCTTCAGGTCATCCATAGAGACCTTGTAGCCGAACAAGTGAAGGAGAGCATATTGGAGCATGCAGCCGTGGCCGTTGCTGTGTGGCAGGGTGTCAGTTGAGCAAGTGCGGGGGGGGATTGGACGGCGTGCTGCACGCCAGGTCAAGCTTACGAGAGAACAAAGCGATCACGGTTGGGGAAGTCGGGGTTCTGGGGGTTGAAGGTCATGAACTTGTTGAAGAGAACGTGAGACACGGGGGCCATGCCCATGGGGGCACCGGGGTGACCGGAGTTGGCCTTGAAGGTGGCATCAACCTATACGGCTATTAGCTGGTTGCTCGACACAAAGGATATCTCATCCGAGGGAATGCATTGCGCTGCTTTCGTCGAGAATTGTCACCGGGTGAGGGAAATGCTTACCGCCAACAGACGGATGGTGTTGATAGCCAATTGATCAACGTCGCTGTAGCCCATGATTGCGGTATCTGAAGTCAAACGAATGGTAAGCAAGAAGCAACCTTTGTGACGGAGAGATCAAGACTGTTGCAGTCAAGGGAGGGAAGAGGAGGAGAGAGTATATGAGGGGAAGGACATACTATATTAAACTCTGTCTATGTGAAGTAGGAATTTATTTTTTTGAAGATGATCGTACCAACAATCAAATAGGTAAGATCAACACGAGATGGAAGAGGGGAAAGAAACACGAGGAGGGAAGAGGAGAGAAGGGAAGAAGGAAGAAGAAGAATAAGATGAAGAGATTGGGGAAAAGGGAAAAGCGAGACGAGGGGCGGCGTGGGATGGAGGAGGAACAACGCCCGGCCGGGCATTGAGGAGGGAGGGG